TCACATTTCGGTGCCCCACTGCTTCACCGCACCAACAACTTTCATTTGTAGCGCTTCATGCCCATCAGCGGTGACATGTGTTGGCTGTTGGTTTTAGCTTCATGTCACCAGCTTCCATTAAAATGAATTGTAGCCTGTTGCTGTGTCACTCATAGCGTGAACACAGCATTAGTTTGTATAATTGTGTGACTTTCGGAACCTAACTTAGTGGCATTGACAGCAGCACATAAAGTCAGGTCCATAATTATTTGGACAATGATACAGTTGTCGTCATTTTGGCTCTGTACACCACCACAATGGGTTTTAAATGAAACAATGAATACCTGCTTAAAGTGCAGACTCTCAGCTTTCATTTAAGGCTTTTTTCAAAAATGTAGTATGAACCGTGTAGGAATGACAACCATTTCTTCACACAGTCCCCCAACTTTAAGGGCTCATAAGTATTTGGACAAACTAACATAATCATCAATTAAACAGTCAGTTTTAATACTTGGTTGCAAATCCTTTACAGTCAATGACTGCCTGAAGTGTTGGACACATAGGCATCATCAGATGCTGGGTTTCTTCCCTGGTGATGCTCTGCCAGCCCTTTACTGCAGCCGTCTGCACTTCCTGCTTGTGTTTTGGGTGTATTGCCCTCAATTTTGGCTTCAGCAAGAGAAACGCATGCTCAGTTGGATTCAGGTCAGATGATATGACTTGGCCATTGCAGAACATTCTACTTCTTTGCCTTAAAAATGTCTTTGGTTGCTTTTGCAGTATGCTTCAGGTCAATGTCCAACTGCACTGTGAAGCATCGTCCAATGAGTTTTGAAGCATTTGGTTGAATCTGAGCAGATAATGTTGCCCCAAACACTTCAGCTTTCATCCTGCTGCTCTTCTCAGCAGTCACATCATTGATAAATACAAGAGAACCAGTTCCACTGGCAGCCATACATGGCCATGACATAACAGTACCTCCACCATGCTTCACTGATGAGGTGGTGTGCTTTGGATCATGAGCAGTTCCTTCCCTTCTTCCTTCTCTTGTCTTCCCATCATTCTGGTAGTTGATCTTTGTTTTATCTGTCCATAGTATGCTGTTCCACAACTGTACAGGCTTTTTAGATGGTTTTTGACAAACTCTAATCTGGCCTTCCATTTTTAAGGCTAACCAATGGTTTGCATCTTGTGATAAACCCTCTGTATTTATTCTAGTGAAGTCTTGTCTTGCTTACAAGAGCAGCAGGATGAAAGCTGAAGTGTTTGGGGCACCATTATCTGCTCAGATTCAATTAAATGCTTCAAAACTCATTGGACGATGCTTCACAGTGCAGTTGGACATTGACCTGAAGCATACTGCAAAAGCAACCAAAGACATTTTTAAGGCAAAGAAGTGGAATGTTCTGCAATGGCCAAGTCATATCATCTGACCTGAATCCAATTGAGCATGCGTTTCTCTTGCTGAAGCCAAAACTGAGGGCAAAACACCCAAAACACAAGCAGGAAGTGCAGACGACTACAGTAAAGGGCTGGCAGAGCATCACCAGGGAAGAAACCCAGCATCTGATGATGCCTATGTGTCCAACACTTCAGGCAGTCATTGACTGTAAAGGATTTGCAACCAAGTATTAAAACTGACTGTTTAATTGATGATTATGTTAGTTTGTCCAAATACTTATGAGCCCTTAAAGTCGGGGGACTGTGTGAAGAAATGGTTGTCATTCCTACACGGTTCATACTACATTTTTGAAAAAAGCCTTAAATGAAAGCTGAGAGTCTGCACTTTAAGCAGGTATTCATTGTTTCATTTAAAACCCATTGTGGTGGTGTACAGAGCCAAAATGACGACAACTGTATCATTGTCCAAATAATTATGGACCTGACTGTAGGTCTATATGTAGCAATAACATCTACAGAAACCGGACCAAAACTAAAATGCAATGTCTCTTTTTTCTCTTGGTCCTTCTGTTGTTGTTTATCTTCCTTGAAAACTCTGTCTAATAATCTCTGCTGTCTCCTTCAGGTATTAGCACAAAGAAGAACGTGGCCATAAATGCCAATAAAGACTTCAGTGGAAGCCATCTTTGGGGCAACAGCAGTATTCCATTTGGAGGGACTCTGCCGAGCAGAGGCGCTCACGGTAATCACGGCACTGTAACGCCATTGTAATTTTTGCAACTTGTTGTCACCACTTGGTTCAAATAAATGGATCTGTTTGTGTTTGTTTTAAATACCAGGTACAAATACAATCCCAGGTGGATACATGCCGTCGTTTTACAAAAAAGACATAGGTTCTGCCGGTCACAGAGGGCACCAGGGTCCTTCAGTGGACTCAACACCATCAAGTGAGGATGAATTTAAGAGCTTAGAACTTTCTGTAATATTCAGCCCTCTATATGTTGACTTTTTATGTTTTTAGTGCCCAGCCACCAACCAAAACCTGTTGTATCGATGCTCTTTTAGATTATGCAACATGGCAGTCTGGACGGAGTCAGATGAACACCTCTGCCAATTTGTCGTTGGCCAACAAGAGCACCCCTGGTCTGCTGCCTCGCCCACCAGTACAGACCATCCACGGGCGAACAGACTGGTCTGCCAAATATGGACACCGCTAGTGGCCTGAGTGGAGCTCTGGTCTGTGCTCCTAAGAACTCTTTCACCTCCAAAGAGTAGGCCTAGTTGTTTTATAATTAAGAATCTGTACATACATCTTACACAGCAATAATTCTGTTTTTCATCATGTGTACTATGGATGTTGTGAGCTGTAAAATATCTAAGTGTATGTGTATATTTAAATGCAACTGGCCAAAACTTGAGCCCAGATTTGCTCCTCAGTGTTTTGTATTTCTGTAACATAACTACTGTTCTACAAAGGTTACATCCTCCGTTTTTTATCAGACTCATCATTGAATGTTCACCAACCTGTATACATGATATGCATATTATAATTTTATGAAAACTTCACTGTGACTTGTTTTCGGCTACAGCTAATTACTTTGCCTCTGTATAGTTCAGTCATGTTTTTTACATTCCTGCTGTGTTTGTTTGATGACAGTATCCTCGTCAATCAGGTAACTATTATTTGTGCATTATAAATTTCAAATGAAATTCAAAGCCGTGCTTTAATTTCAGTAAAATTATTACAATGCAAGTGGTTGCCACACTGTATCAATCTGTTTCTCAAGTAAAATGATCCAATTTAACACGTTCTACCCCCTCGGCCAAAGTGAGTGTGATTACTGAATTGCCAGTTATTGAATATAATTAAACTTTTGACTGGGTACCAGTATGTTCAACTTGTGTCATTTGTCATGGGCCAGTTTTAGGTCTTTGAAATACATTATTATCAGTACATTTTCCATGTGTGTGTGACCGCAGCACCAGGGTGAGCACAGCAGCTCTGGTAGATGCTGGTCAGCTCGGTTAATCTGTCAGTAGTAGCTCACTGTTAATGCTATACAGTGCATCTATATTGACCTGGTAGTCTGCTTTTATAATGTAATGAAATATACATATGTCTACATTGGTACATATTATAACTGGGAGAAGAAAGATCTGTCGTCTTAGGCCCTTAATGGACAGTATTATTGCACCTGTCCTGTAGGTAATGCAGGTATAAGCATGTTGTTAGAGCACATTACACTACATTGTACTCACTGACTCCTATCAGGGGTGTACTCATCTTCATGGCTATGGAAAAGGAAACACTTCTGGCACATCAACAGTATGTTATTTCCTAATTTTTTATTTGCCACATAGCACCATCTACAGGTGTTTCAGTGAAACAGGGCCCACAGATAAGCTGCAAGAAGTGCAACACATCAGCACTTAAATAGTGTCATCCTAACCAGATCAGACAGTTCTTGTTTAAATTTTTTTTCTTTTTGTTATTATGCTCTGTTTTATTTATTTAACTGTCTCATTGTCCTGACATGTGCCATGTTGATGTGTACCTGCAAGTTGTGTCAAAAATAACACTATGACTGCTGTTTGCAGTGCTTCATCAGTAAACTTGCTTTGCCTGGGGGCCACTTCTGCAAAATGATAGGAGGGACCACTTAATAAAAAAATGTGTATTGTTTATCAGACACAGTGAATAAATGAGGCATCCAGTGGCAGCAGCCATGCACAGGACAGGTGTACGTAGGGATGTTTCCAGGATCTGATGGCCTTTGAGGGCTTAGCCTGACCTCTGTTGAGGGGCCCACAGGATCCTACTCCTAGCACTTATTTCTTTTTTTTTTTTTTTTTTGAAGAGCAAGCTCTATTTTTTAATGCACCCTGGCAGTTTATAGTCAATGTACAAAAAAATTGGCAGTGTGAAAATGGTCAACAGGCCACACAGTGCCCAGTCACAGGCTGTAAATTGAGCACCTTTGCCCAATAGCATTGCATAAATTATATCACGACAATATCTCTCTGGGGAACTAAATGTGTCCAGATAGGAAATAGAGCTGGTTCTTGACAAAATAAAAACAACTATGGTAAGCTATTTAAAAGAGGTAGTTAAATTCCAGTCTATTTTTCCTTCGAGTAAAGTAGGTTTTGGTAGGACTAACGTTAGTCAGTGATGGAAGAAGTAATCATATTTTTACTCAATTAAAAATGACAATGTCACAGTATAAATGTACTCTATCACAAGAAAAATTAATTTATTACAATGTGAATTGACAAATAAAGTTGTTGGTGAATGTGAGGCAGTATGGTGCGTACAGTTATAATTACGGCGTCACATATTGATATGCCGCGTGCCATATAGTTCACCTGTCACGTTCATAAACGTAAACTATGTTGATACATCAAACTAGTTGAAGAATGATCAACTAAAGAGAGCTACTTATTTAATTTTTTCCGATAATGCTAGCTAGTTTGTTATTTCGTCCGTTATGCCAGTTAGCTACATTTTTCCCATGATGTCTAGCGGCAATATGCTAATGAGCCATATTTCCATTGGCCAGAACCAACCAATCACAGACTCAGATGTTTCCGCCCACTTTATCTTTTATAGATCCACACTACTGTATTATAAAACAACTTAACTTCACCTTTGTCACGTACTTCACCCTGACTTCTCCACTACAGCTCAGGTATGACCACACAAACTCAGTTTTGGTAATTGTAAGTTTATGTGTATTCAGTAATATGTGATATTTACTCTCTCTTTTTCTCTTTTAGAGATTTAACAGTACACTTTAAAGTAGCCTACTATAACCATGTCTGGAAGACCTATGCTATACTACCTCAATGGGAGAGGTCGGATGGAGTCAATCCGTTGGCTTTTGACTGTTGCAGAGGTTGATGTAAGTGAAATGTATAGTGAGATTAATCTGAAGCTGTGCTGCCTTTAAGGAACCCCAAACTTGCTAAATGTGCCCTAAATCTGTCATGTAATCTCATGTTCACAGTTTGAAGAGATTTATCTGACATCTCGTGACCAGTATTTAAAACTCCTGAGTGGTAAGTTGATATTCAGAAAAACTAAATCAAACCTCTGGAGTCTCTCTGACCTGTTTCCAAGTCATCCTCCCCCAATTTCATGAGTTCTGTTAACATCTGTTATCTGTTAACTTCAACCCACTTGTGATGCAACCTGGAGTGAGACAACCATTTGAGGCAAAGGTCACCTGTGGTCATATCAACCAAGAAATTAATGTTTTGCCATCTGGGCGTGCCGCTCTGTGCATGACCTGCTGCTGTCTTTTGTCTGCAGATGGAGCTCTCATGTTTCAACAGGTTCCCATGGTGGATATTGATGGCATGAAGCTTTTTCAGACAAAAGCAATCTTGAATTACATTGCAGAGAAGTACAATCTTCATGGGAAAGATATCAAAGACCGTGTCATGTAAGGTCCAGCTCTTTAAAAAGTCTAATTATAAGAGTGTGTTTTCTATTATAACGTGTGATTTAGTGGATGAATGTGTCACCATGAACACTTTCCCTCAGGATCAACATGTACTCAGAAGGAGCGATGGATCTCATGGAAATGATCATGAAGTTGCCCTTGAGTGCAGATAAAAAAGCAACACTGGAAACCATTGAAAGCAAAGCAAAGGAACGTTACCTTCCTGTGTTTGAAAAGGTATGAAATGGTGTGGTCTAATAACTGATTCATCTTGATTAGAAACCCTTCAAGATGGAAAATGCACCTGATGATGATTGTGCGTGATAACTAAACAAGATACTGTGTGTCAGGCGCTGACTGGGCCCATTTACCTGGTGGGAGGTAAGCTAAGCTGTGCAGACGTGCAGCTGCTTGAATGCACCCTGATGTTGGAGGAGAAATTCCCTGGAATCCTCGCTGGGTTTCCCAGCGTCAAGGTAAATGTGTCAGATTGGACACGCTGTACAGAATAAGGCTGAATATACAAAGGAACAACAGCAGCATAAAAAGATTATCTGTCCCTTTGAAATCCTAGAATATTGTTAATCATAATAAGAATACACTCTGATGACTGAATGTTGTGTTTAAGGACTCTCTGTGTTTCCCTCCAGTCTTTCCAGGGCAGGATGACACAGATTCCTGCCATCAGCAGATTCCTGCAGCCAGGCAGCAAGAGGAAGCCACAGCCAGATGAAAAATTATTGAAGACCGCCATGGAGGTGTTCAACATCACATTACCACTCCCATGAACTCTGTACATTCCTCACACCTGCAGTGTCAATGGTTCACCAGTGCATTATACAAGCACAACATGTGGATCAACTATATTAGCTGGTTTATGTGGAGATTGAGTGAAATTTTTACTAATTTTCTACTCAACTGAGAGACTCCGTAAATTGTATAATCAGAGTTAACGAACAGATAATCATGGTTAATCCTACAACCCTAGATGAAGAGCTAAACATAATGGTGTATGCTTTTGTAGTCTGTACTGAAGTTAGTGTGTGTAGCTGCAAATTGCATACAGATGAGATCAACATGCCCAGAAGATGAGAAACAATCGTGTCAGGAATGGGGTGATACCTAGAGTCTGCTGAGTTCAAGAAATGATGGTGTCACAACTGGAGAGGGAGTGATCAGCGGGCAGAACGATGGCTCTGCCGGCAAAGGCCCACTACAGGCGGGGCAGGTATACGCAACACATAAGTGACTGTGATAGAGATACAGTTGAGTCTGCTCCTGCGACCAACAGCCTACAAGCTGAATGCTGCACTATCCATTACAAATCTCTTTAGCATGAAAGAAATCTATGTAATCCTTCATAACATCACAATATATGAGTGTGTCAATGTGAGGGTTCAGCTAAATAAAAAGTTTATTTTTGAGGAACAGTTGACAAGCTGCTGTGTTTTTGTTCAGTGATTGAATTATCTCCACACCATGTACAGACAAAGAAAAGCGTTATTTTAAGCATCACATCTGTTTATTAGTGATGCTAGTATTACAAAAAAATCATATTAACTTTTAGTCTTCTTAACGTTAAAGACATAGCATGTGAGCACTCAAGAAAACACATTTTATTCTTTAAACTAAGTCCTTATGCAGTAAATTGAATATTACACATTATCATAGCCTGTCCAGGGTGTACCCCGCCTTCGCTCAATGTCATTGGGGATAGGCTCAAATCTGTTACACACACACTGGTAGCTGTATGAATCTGTTTCAGTTTCTGGTGTAAAATGATCCAAGCTAACATGCCTCAGCCAAAGTCAGTGTGATTACTGAATTGCCAGTTATTGGGTGTAATTAAACTTTTGACTGGGTACCAGTATGTTTAACATGTGTCACTGTTCATGAAACACTTCAAACTGATTGGTTGTTTGTCAGCCTTTAAAAAATATCTGGTGAATTAAGGGTGTTTGGGACAGTTGTTGAATTTCCTTCTTCTGTAAGCTTTCTCGTCATCGATTTAAAAAAAAATAGCCCAACAAATTATACATTTCTGTAATACTGAAGATGTTATCTATCCATATGAGGAGAAAGGAAAGTTTTATCATATACCAAGGAGGCATAACATACCCTTTTAAGGTAAACTGACCCCAAACCTCTTTTTTTTGTATCATTTGAGTGATTGGGACAGGACATCTTATCACTGATTTAGGCTGTCCATCCATTTTCATCTGCTTATCTGGGGTCAGGTCATGGGGTCAGGAGACCAAGCAAAGCACCCCAGACGTCCCTCTCCCCAGTAACACTTTCCAGCTCTTCCAGATGAGATATGTAGTCCCTCCAGTATGTTCTGGGTCTTCCCTGAGGCCTCCTACCAGTGGGACGTGCCCGGAACACCTCTAACGTTGGGTGCCCAGGAGGCATCCTGATCAGATGCCCAAACTACCTCAACTGACCCCGTTTGACACGAAGAAGGAACGGTTCTACTCTGAGCTCCCTCCAGTTGTACGAGCTCTTTACCCTATCTCTAAGGCTGAGCCCAGCCACCCCACGGAGGAAACTCATTTCGGCTGCTGGAATACGTGATCTCATTCTTTTGGTCACTACCCAGAGCTCATGACAATAGAAATTTAGAAGCCAGGTTGACACCTTGAGCTTTTTCTCACGCTCCACAGACCATTTCTAAACTGTTTTTGTAGTATGGCATGCTGCTTTTTTCTGCTGGGGGGTCCACTGCCATTGGGGAGCAGCCTCTGTTGCCATGAGAGGGGGTACTTGGTCTGCAACAGTGTTTGAGTGGGTGATACATGTCAGGTGGTATCCACATGAATGCCAGGTTTCCCAGCAGAACAATGCATTGGAACAAAATAATAAAAGTTATTCACTTCACCTGTCAGTGGTTTTAACGTTTTGGCTGATCGGTGTATACTGGTCTAGTTTTCTGCAGCACATTACATAGTGTTAATGTTTTAATTTTAATTTCAATTTTGCACTATCCATCATAAATGTAGTTAGCGTGAAAGAAATCTCTGTATGTAGATTTTTTGGATTATCTCCACACCTGTTTTAGTTTCTGTTATAACAAAAACCATATTAACTTTAATCCTATTAACCTTGATACTATCAGCAGCCTGCATTATTGAAGTTCTAGTGTATGCAGGAAACCTCCTGCCAATGCAAACAATAGCACCATATATCTGTTAATCTTAAATTTATGGACATGCTCATGTAATATATAGATAAATTAATTAATAAATAGTTTAAGCTTTGATCAGTGTTGTGTGATAATATGAATTCCAGTACAACACAACAACAAGCTTTGCTCTAATTAAAGAACGAATGTTGATCGAGCTTGGGCTTAAATAAGATGCAAGTTGGTGCTAGTTTTCATTGTGTTTAAGCTTTTGTATTTTGCATATAATACTTCCACTATTCAGAATGCAAGCCTTTAATAATAATGGGTTACCCCAGACTTGAAAGCTCCATTTGAACTTAACTGTGGGGCTATTTAAACCACTTTTATTTTTGTAAGATCACCCAAACAGATGAACAAGATTAGCAACAGGTAGCAATAGGAATTAATACAGTGTGGTCATAGTGGCTGCCCCACTGTACAAATCTGTTTCAGTATCTGAAGTAAAATGATCCAAGTTAATGTGTTCTACCCCATCGGCCAAAGAGATTGTGATTACTGAATTGCCAGTTATTGAATATAATTAAAACTTTGACTGAGTGCCAGTGTGTTCAACTTGTACATTTTTTGTAAAATAAAATACTTTAAATTTATCAGCTGATCGCAGGCCTTTAAAATATATTACCATGAGTCAATGTGGTAGATCTGCTACAGATGAATGTGTCCATACTAGCTTACTGATAATATCACACAGACATGAATACAGTGCATCTATATTGGTCGAATTTAATTTTTTAAGTATTTTTCCCATGATGTCTAGCGGCAACATGCTAATGAGCCATGTTTCTATTGGCCAGAACCAACCAATCGCAGTCTCAAGATGTTCCCACCCACTTTATCATTTTTTTAATCGACACTTAAATTTTATACGACATAACTTCCTTTTATTACGCACTTCATCCTGACTTCTCCACTACAGCTGAGGCGGTGCACAGGTATGACAAACAGATGTTAACTCAGTTTTGATAACGTGGCATTTGTTTGTATTCAGTGATATTTAATTTGTCTCACTTCTTTAGAGAGATTTACCGATACACCTACGAAGTACTACAATCATGTCGGGCAAAGTTGTGCTGCACTACATCAATGGGAGAGGGAAAATGGAGTCAATCCGTTGGCTTTTGGCGGCTGCAGAAGTCGAAGTAAGTGAAGGGAGGGTATGGTGATATTAATCTGAAGCTGTGCTGCCTTTAAGGAACCCCAAACTTGCTGAATGTGCCCTAAATCTGTCATGTACTCTCTTGTTCACAGTTTGATGAGGTTTTTCTGACAACTCGTGACCAGTATTTAAAACTGCTGAGTGGTAAGTTGGATTCAGGGTCTCTCTGGTCTCTGTCCAAGTCACATGATTGCTGTCTTTCCTCTTTTTCTTTCCTGTGTCCCCATTGTGTATCTGTTAACTCCACCCACTTCTGATGCAAACTGGGGTGACAAAACCATTTAAAGTAAAGGTCATGAATTGCTTTACTGAAGTTATGTCTACAAAGAAATTGTTTTACGACTTTGCTGTGCCGCTCTGTGCATGACCTGCTGCTGTCTTTTGTCTGCAGATGGAGCTCTCATGTTTCAACAGGTTCCCATGGTGGATATTGATGGCATGAAGCTTTTTCAGACAAAAGCAATCTTGAATTACATCGCAGAGAAGTACAATCTTCATGGGAAAGATATCAAAGACCGTGTCATGTAAGGTCCAGTTCTTTTAAAAGTCTAATTATAAGAGTGAGTTTTCTATTATAACGTGATTTAATGGATGAATGTGTCACCATGAACACTTTCCCTCAGGATCAACATGTACTCAGAGGGACTGATGGATCTCATGGAAATGATCATGAAGTTGCCCTTGAGTGCAGATATAGAGGCAAAAATGGAGAACATTCAGAGCAAAGCAAAGGAACGTTACCTTCCTGTGTTTGAAAAGGTACGAAATGGTGTGGTCTAATAACTGATTCATCTTGGTTAAAACCCTTCAAGGTGGAAAATGCACCTGATGATGATTGTGTGTGATAACTAAACAAAATACTGTGTGTCAGGCGCTGACTGGGCCCATTTACCTGGTGGGAGGTAAGCTAAGCTGTGCAGATGTGCAGCTGCTTGAATGCACCCTGATGTTGGAGGAGAAATTCCCTGGAATCCTCGCTGGGTTTCCCAACGTCAAGGTAAATGTGTCAAAGGAACAATATCAGCATAAAAAGATCATCTGTCCCTTTCATCATAATAAAATACACACTGATAACTGAATGTTGTGTTTAAGGACTCTCTGTGTTTCCCTCCAGTCTTTCCAGGGCAGGATGACACAGATTCCTGCCATCAGCAGATTCCTGCAGCCAGGCAGCAAGAGGAAGCCGCAGCCAGATGAGAACTTCGCGAAGACTGTGGTGGAGGTGTTCAACATCACATTACCACTCCCGTGAACTCTGTACATTCCTCACACCTGCAGTGTCAATGGTTCACCAGTGCATTGTTAGAGCACAGCACATACGACATGTGGATCAGTTATATTTGCTGATTAATTTGAGATTAATACTGCACTATGCATCATAAATGTAAGCATGAAAGAAAGCTCTGTATGTTGACTTCTTGGATGATCTCCAGGTTGTTTTTTTTCTGTCATAACAAAAATCATATTAACTTTAATCCTTTTTTTTTTTTTAAAGTTAATGACATGGCATGTGAATAGTGTAATAGTGTATGCAGGAAATCCCCTGCCAACACAAACAATAGCACCATATATTTGTTAATCTTAAGTGTATGCCCACGCTAATGTAATAAGTTAATAAATAAATTAATAACATTTGATCAGTTTTGTGTGATGATATGAACAAGCTTTGCTCTAATTAAAGAATGAATGTTGGTCGAGCTTGGGCGTAAATAAGATGCAAGTTGGTGCTAGTTTTTATTGTGTTTAAGCTTTTGTATTTTGTATATAATACTTCCAGTATTCAGAATGCAAGCCTTAAATAATAATGGGTTACCCCAGACTTTAAAGCTCCATTTGAACTTAACTGTGGGGCTATTTAAACCACTTTTATTTTTGTAAGATCACCCAAACAGATGAACAAGATTAGTAGTAAATTGTAAATCAGTTACACGCCAACAGGGAGCAGTAAAATTAATACAGTGTGGTTGTAATGGTCGCCACACTGAACGAATCTGTTTCAGTTTCTGAAGTGTACTGGGGGTTGGAGTGAGCAGGGTCCACAGATGAACTACATGCTTCACAATGCAAGTAGCGATAAACACACCAGTGCTTCAGAGAGGGTGCTGGAGATGACAGAGGTACGAGACGTAAAAGGAGTAAGGAGAAAATCCCTTCTCTTGAGTAAATTAGACTTTGGTAGAACTGACTGAGCGTACTGCAGTTACACAGGTCATACTCAGTGGTTACAGGCCACCAACCCATTTAGTTGTGAAAACTGGAATTTGGGTTTTATCGACCTGGGCAGGCAGCCATCTGCACTATGTGAGTGCAATAAAGACCAAGACAAAGAAGATGAAGAGGCTGAAGGGAGTGAGTGGGGAGATAAAGAGTGTGAAGGCCATGGTCTGTGAGATTGTGGGTGTTGTTGAACGTAACTTCAGGTGAAGTCATTGCTGTTATGTGAATGGTTTGATTCTTGTTACAATCTGCATGTTTCCTCCTTTCGAATGAGCTAACTTGGGCCAATTCTCGACCATTTTTAATTTTGAATTCTCACTTTTCTCATTAAATATGGTGTTGTGATTAATGATTATGCTAATCAGGGCATGATAACGGGCTATAATGTCTTAATACTATATAGTACTACCACTGAAATAAACTTTCTCTGGGAAGTCTGTGACCATTTTGATTCTCTTCCTTATGTTACCTGATAATGAGCTAATTATGCCACTTACACAAATTGCAAATAGCCTCTGGAGTCAGCCTCAAGTGGACACTCAAAGAACTGCAGTTTTTGGCACTTCGCGTTAGCCTCATTTTTCAACCCTGCTGGTTGCCACTTGGCAAGAATATACCAATAAGCCATGTTTCTATTGGCCAGAAACAACCAATCACAGTCCACAGATGTTTTCAACACCTTTACTAGTCCAGTAAACCTCTGGAGTCCCTCTAGTCTGCTTTTTCCCCCCTACAGTTTGTGTTTATCTGTTAACTTCAAACCACTTATGACATACCTTGGGTGAGACAACCATTTGAAGGTGATGTATTGCTTATGACCTGTAGATATATCTACAAATAAATTAATGTTTTACCACTTGGCTGTGCCGCTCTGTGCATGACCTGCTGCTGTGTTTTGTCTGCAGATGGAGCTCTCATGTTTCAACAGGTTCCCATGGTGGAAACTGATGGCATGAAGCTCATTCAGACAAAAGCAATCTTGAATTACATCGCAGAGAAGTACAATTTTCATGGGAAAGATATCAAAGACCGTGTCATGTAAGGTCCAGTTCTTTAAAAAGTCTAATTATAAGAGTGTGTTTTCTATTATAACGTGTGATTGAGTGGATGAATGTGTCACCATAAACACTTTCCCTCAGGATCAACATGTACTCAAGAGAGAGTGGTGGATCTCATGGAAATGATCATGAAGTTGCCCTTGAGCGTGGCTATAGAGGCATTCAGAGCAAAGCAAAGGAACACTACCTTCTTGTGTTTGAAAAGGTACCACTGTGCTGACCGAATGAAATGGTGTGGTCTAATAACTGATTCATCTTGGTTAAAACCCTTCAAGATGGAAAATGCACCTGATTATGACTGTGTGAGCACAGCAGCACTGGTAGATGCTGGTCAACTAGATTAATCTGCAAGAGATTAATCTGTCAGTAGTAGCTTACTGTTAATGCTACAGGCATGAATACAGTGCATCTATATTGATCTGGTATTATGTATTACATCACATAATGTAATGAAATGTATTTATGCCTGCACATGTACATACTGCGATTGAAAGAAGACAGATGTTGCAATTTCAACTAGTGTTTTTAGGCTCTTAATGAACAGTATATTCCTGCACCTGTTCTGTATGCAGGTATAAGTAATTACATTGTACTTATGTTACACTGAACAGGGGTATTCTCATCTTTATGGTGGTCTTGTGTGTGTATGTGGCCACAAGTCAAAGGGAAAAATAAGGAAACATTTATGGCACACTGACAGTGTGTCAACTTTACATTTTCTAAATAGCACCATCTACAGGTGTTCCAGTGAAACGGGGCCCACAGATAAGATTAATAAAGTCAGAAGTGATAACACATCAGTGCTTTAAATAGTATCATCCTCATCAGTATGGTATTTAAAAAGGTGCTGTAGATGACAGAAGTATGAGATGTTCATAAATTATGTAGTTTAGGATTATCAGTAAAGAGAGTGATTCAGTTTTTGATGCAATGCCTTCTATGATTACAGTACATACATTATATTAGGACAACACCGCTACAAGGTTACATGTTGCAAAATAGAGAGCTAGAGCTAATAAAATAAAATAAATCAAATTAAATTAAATTAAGAATTAAAGAGAGCAGTGAATATGTTTATCTGCTAAATTTTGTCAGTGATGGAGGAAATACTGATATTTTCTCTTAAACATGAGTAGCAATACCACAGTATAAAAACACTTTGCTCCAAGAAAAAGTTGTGCTCACAATATTTTAAGTAAAAGCACACAAGTATTAGAATTAAAATATACTTTGAGTACCAACACTGAAAGTAGGCTACTCATTATGCAAAGTGGTCCATTTTAGAATAATATAATATAATATCAGTGGATATGGTGGTAAAGATGGAAGCACTATTTCATCTACTTTACAGACTGCTGTTAGCTTAATAATATATAATACATCATCATCTATTATTCGTTTGTATGTATTTTGTATTAATAATCTGAATAAGCAAAAGTAGCATCCTTTAGTGTAGTTGAGTAGACATTTAAAGTAAAATGGAAATACTCAAATCAAGTATAACCGCTTTTTTTTACTTTACTTTAAACTTTAAACAAAATAAAAACTTCTCTATTTAAGTATCTATCTAAACTAACTACTAAACAATTACATTTTTTAAATTGATATAGTAAAAGTAAGGCAGACTGCCCCGTGCAGCGCCTCATTTGGATGTGTCTGACGCTTGGAGCTTAACTTCCCTACGTTTCTCCTACAAATGGGCCTTGAGCTTGTTTGGAGGTTCTAGCAGGGGAGCGCAGCTACTGGTACACCGATGGATGGTCGTCCGCCGAGGGGGACCTCGTCCTCATCGACCGAGCGCGGGGCTTCGGGAGGGACACACATGGAGCGGTGAGGGAGGAAGGGGACACCCGCCTAGCCAGCCAGATCAGCCGAATCAACCCTAGCGATCAATGGGGTGACAGATGTCGCAGCCAGATCGCCCTCACATCCGAAACTATACTGTGTAACGAGTCGCATATATACCGGAAAATATATCTTCCGCTCATTATTATGGTGTCGCTCATATTCAGCGACGTATAAACATCCTCCGTCAAATTCATAAACCTAAACTACGTCGTAACATCACGCTTGCGAAGAATTATCACATAAAAATAGCCAGCTTCTTAGTTTTGTCCACGGACCCAGCTAGCTTGTTTTTCTCCCTATAATGCCAGTTAGCTAGTATTTTTCCCATGATGCTTAGCAGCGATATGTTAATGAGCCATGTTTCTATTGGCCAGAGTCAACCAATCACAGCCATCAGAGGCTCTCCCCACCTTTTGTGTTCTTTTAATCGACACTACTACATTATGTAACAGTTAAACTTTTCTCACACTGCGCTCTGCAGCCTGATTTCTTCACCACAACTGGGGCGGTGCACAGGTACGACCTGAGAAACGCAGTCTGTGTAACGTTATGTGCATTTGTATTCAATAATAAGTTATATTTACTCTGTCTCTGTCTTTTTTTTAGACATTTAACGGTTCATTTCCAAAATACTATAACCATGTCGGGCAAAGTTGTGCTGTACTACCTCAATGGGAGAGGGAAAATGGAGTCAATCCGTTGGCTTTTGACTGTTGCGGAGGTTGAAGTAAGTGAAGGAAGGGTGTGGTGAAATTTGTCTGAAGTTGTGCTGCCTTTAAGGAACCCCACATTTGCTTAATGTGCTCTAAATCATCATGTACTCTGTTGTTCACAGTTTGATGAGGTTTTTCTGACAACTCGTGACCAGTATTTAAAACTGATAAGTGGTAAGTTCAGGGTCTCTCTGGCCTCTGTCCAAGTCACACGTTTTTTTCCCCCTCTTTTTTCCACAATTTAATTTGTGTATCTGTTAACTTCAACCCACTTGTGATGCACCATGGGGTGACACAACCATGTCAGGTGAAGGTCATAAATTTCTTGTAAACTTATGTCTTCAAAGAAATTAATGTTTTACCATCTGGGCGTGCCGCTCTGTGCATGACCTGGTGCTGTGTTTTGTCTGCAGATGGAGCTCTCATGTTTCAACAGGTTCCCATGGTGGAAATTGATGGCATGAAGCTCATTCAGACAAAAGCAATCTTGAATTACATCGCAGAGAAGTACAATCTTCATGGGAAAGATATCAAAGACCGTGTCATGTAAGGTCCAGTTCTTTTAAAAGTTTAATTATAAGAGTGTGTTTTCTATTATAATTTGTGATTGAGTGGATGAATGTGTCACCATGAACACTTTCCCTCAGGATCAACATGTACTCAGAGGGACTGATGGATCTCATGGAAATGATCATGATGTTGCCCTTCACCCCAGATGTAAAACCAAAAATGGAGAACATTCAGCGTAAAGCAAAGGAACGTTACCTTCCTGTGTTTGAAAAGGTACAAAATGGTCTGGTCTAATAACTGATTCATCTTGGTTAGAAACCCTTAACGTTGGAAAATGCACCTGATGATGATTGTGTGTGATAACTAAACAAGATACTGTGTGTCAGGCGCTGACTGGGCCCATTTACCTGGTGGGAGGTAAGCTAAGCTGTGCAGATGTGCAGCTGCTTGAATGCACCCTGATGTTGGAGGAGAAATTCCCTGGAATCCTCGCTGGGTTTCCCAACGTCAAGGTAAATGTGTCAAAGGAACAATATCAGCATAAAAAGATCATCTGTCCCTTTCATCATAATAAAATACACACTGATAACTGAATGTTGTGTTTAAGGACTCTCTGTGTTTCCCTCCAGTCTTTCCAGGGCAGGATGACACAGATTCCTGCCATCAGCAAATTCCTGCAGCCAGGCAGCAAGAGGAAGCCACAGCCAGATGACCACTACGTGAAAACCGTCATGGAGGTGTTCAACATCACATTACCACTCCCGTGAACCCTGTTCATTCCTCACACCTGCAGTGTGAATGATTCACCAGTGCATTATACAATCACAGCATGTACGACATGTGGATCAGTCATATTTGCTGGATTATGCTGAGAGCAATGCTGCAGTATTCATCATAAATCTTTATAGCATAACAGGAATCTACGTAATCCATCCTAACAGCACAACACTGGAGTGTTTTAATGTGAAAGTTCTGCTAAATAAATTGTTTATTTTTGAGGAACATTTGAGAAGCTGCTGTGTTTTTGTTGTGTGTTTAGATTATCTCCACACCATGTACACATAAAGGAAAGCATCATTTTAAGAATTATAGCTGTTTATTTAGTTTTGCTGTTATTACAAAAAAAATCACATAAACCTTTGTTCCTCTTTAAAGTTAAAGACATGGCATACAAACAGTCAAGACAACACATTTTGTTCTTTAAACTGGGCCCTTATTCAGTAAATTAAATATTAGACATTACAAACAGTGCAGCCTGCAAAACTGAAGTTGTAGTGTATGCAGTAAACCTCTTGCCAACACAAACAGCACCCACAAAGCTCATGTACATCTGTTAATCTTACACTCATGCATATGTAAAAAAAAAAAAACAAGCACTTTTATTTATATAAGATCGCCCAAACAGATTTACTATAATAAAATAAGCAGTTAATCTTAAATCTGTAAATCTGTTAAACACCAACTGGTAGCTTTTGCAAAGTTTGTGGTCACATGAAAGTTCCAAACAAAACAGAGGACTTGTTGTTAACTGGGAATGCTGTTTCCTTTAAAACAAGGTTTGTTCATCGAGAGACAGAAAGCCCTCGCTCTGGTCAGTGTCATTTCTCCACTCACACGATGAGGTGTAGTAGCAGTCGAAACACCATCAACAAACTGTAAGAAAGAGAGAAATCAAAAATTATAAAAGCAGCAAGTGTGCAACATCATTTCACAATGTGTTTGCTTGATAAACTTTGACACATGTTGAGCAAGTCAGACTCTGACCTTAGCCCTGCCATAATGCCAGCAGGCATTAATTTCCCAGATCTCTTGTATCTCGTTCCCATCACCACTGCGAGGACCCCAGAAGCAACTGAAAGAAAGAAAATGCCACGACATGATAACAATTCTCCGACTCATGAGCTGCTGAAAATAAGCATATTAAGAGGATGAGCTTAGCCATACTCACGCAATGACACCTTGATGTCACTTGGATTATTGGAGACGTTGTATGCACCATAAGCAGAAAACAAACCAAAAACTAAACCAGCCATCAGGGACATCACGCTGCCTTCAGTGACACAGAGACAAATGATGATGATCAGGGTTAACTGACTGATAAAGTAATCATGTGACAGAGAATTCTGTTTGGCTTTTCATTGTCAGAACGTTGCTAAAGTCCGACCTTTTAAACCCAGAAAGATGCAGAGATACTCACTCTCGCTTTCATTACCAGCTGTTAAGACTATTGCAATTCCCTTATCTCTGGGTTACCCAAAAAATCAACAAGAAACTTACAGCTAGTCCAGAATGTTCTCCTCTCAGTGGCTCCTCCACTGTTCTTCATGTGTCCCATAAAAGTACTGGAGAGAGCGCTTTCTAATTTTATGCCCCTACAGTGTGGAATTAACTGCCTCTGGATATTAGAGTGGCAAACTCCAAGTACTTTTAAACGTAAATTCAAGACCTATCTTTTTAATCTGGCTTTTTAATGTGGAATAACAGTCTTGTATTTTCAGTTTTAATCGTTTTTTTTTTAAGACAAATAATATAAACAACATATAGCAACACACAACACAGTACAGTACAGGGTACCACCCACTGGCCGCCAATTCAGACTTGCCATTAACATGTTAACTGATCTCCACACATGATGTAATACATAAAACAGGCAAACACATGTGGACACACACACAAACTCAAAAGCATACCCATACACACACATGTGCATTAAATAGGAGTATGTAACAACAAGTAAGAGCATTATAGAATATTACTAATTATAATGACTGTAATAGTAATGAAAGGAAATATTCATATAAACATGATACATAATTCTTCATCAGCAAAATAACCATTGGGTTTTACCTTATTTTATCCCTCTTGTTTATTTTAATTATATTTTATTTATTTGGTTTCCTTTTTAAAATATTTTATTGTCTTATTGTTGCACATTTTCTAGTCTTGCAAAACTTTATGTATAGGTTTTGGTGTTATCCTTTAAACTGTGTCTGTGTCATCATTCATGTCATGTGAAGCACTTTGAGATGCATGTCTGTGTGAAAGGTGCTATATAACTAAAGTTGAGTTTCTTGAGGTTTCTGCCAAAATGAAAAAGCTTTCAACCTTTTCTCTTGTATCCCATAAATCCCCCGAAGAGGATGGCTGCAGCATAGCCAAATCCAACCCAGTCCACTGCCATCACAAAGCTGTAAACACAAGAACAGTACAGGGTGTCAGGTATGTCTGGTATTCATGTTGAGCCAAGACTAAATATGGCAAAGTTTACAGAAAATGGCAACCTAAATTAACTCAAATCTAAAAGTTAAGCATTCTTAAAACGTGTTAATCCCCACAGACAAGCTGCCTAGTTTATTAGAATTTAAAATCAGCAAGTTTGTCGCTTCTTAAACTTAATGGCGTATTAATACTTGTACTTTAGTACTTTAACCCATGTTATCGCAGTGTCTAATCTTCCCGTCTCTAGGTGTCGCTGTGAGACCGTTAGTGGTTAAAACATAAAACAACAGAGGAGACGTAAATACAAATAGCTCTATACACATATATTCTATAATTTTGTTATTATATTGTCATCATGCATTAATTTAATTCGTCTCGGTAGATATTACATACCTTTAGTCCAAACAAGAGAGTAACAGCACTTGAAGACGTTACTCTCAATCTGCGACTGCACTTCCTCGTTACTGCCCACAACTTGGAATACGCATGCGCAGCTTGGTTCGTGCTGCATTCGCTGACTTTTGATAAAGTTGGAAAGTAGTATTTCATAATATTAAAGAAGATTTTCATTCATTTTCAAAACTCATACGTTTTATTTCTATGGTCCAAAAAAGCCCAAAAATATTAATAGAAATAAAGAACTGCCTCTCAAAATCCAAAAGCTAGAGTGCCCTGGCTCAAACTTGTGATGTCATAGGGTATAAAATCTGAAGCTGCTCTTGGAAAAGATAATATAGAAGATATGCTTTAGTAATCCCTGAGGGGAAATTATTTTTTTTCACTTTGTTGTCATATAAACACAGAGGCCTAATATACACACCCATGCACAAACAGGTCTTATACATGCATTAAAGAGAGAGATGTCACAGTGAGGATGCTGCCCATGGAGCAAGCAATTGGGGATTGGGTGCCTTGCTTGAGGAGGCGAGCTGGCACCTCTGTAGCTACCAATACATGCTCCATATTTGGTGCGGATGGGGACTTGAGCCTGCAACCCTCCGGTTTCCTATTCAAGTTCCTATGGACTGAGCTGCTGACACCCAAGTTGACACTGAGAGTATACAGAGGAATGTTCTAGGTATAGTGGTACATTTTCTGTTTCAGCTCAGACAGCACTACAATAGAATAAAGCTCATTTTGGTATAAAGAAAGAAAACAAACATTTTATGGGTCCACAAAATCAGTTTCCTATTTATTGGAATTCTTAATTTAGGTGCTGTTCTCCTTTAAAATCAATACCGGTCAATGATTTTTTTGTTGTTGTTGTTCTGAATTTGATAGATAAATAAATAAGGCATACCGTCAGTGTATTCATACACAGTTTCACATTACCAGGCAAGTTTCTCATTTCTCCGTTTGATTTGTTTTTACTCAGTTAAATTTTGAAAGAAATTTTCTTGTTTATTTGGGAGAATATGGTTTGGTTCCAATATCAGAGAATATGGTCTAACTTTTGAATACTGGGTGTAACAATCCACAAAATAATTTTTTCAGTGAAATGACTGTCTCTTGGGTAAACACACACATTCAGAAAGCCAAAAACTTTCTGTAATTATATCTGTAGGGATTGTCAGACCCACTTTAGTGTGCAAACAGTAGCTAGAAAACATTGGTGGGAGGAAGACAAGATACTGTAGGTGTGCACGACCAACAGTGTATAAACACTGAGTTAAGAGTCACCATCTTACTTTATCAAACAAAATGTGCCCACATACAAAGTGCATAGTTGTAATCACAACCATAAACACTTTGAAATGGTTTCAGATTGGCTGGTATTTACCACTATATGCTGAGGTACAACAGAAACAGAGGCAGGTCCTGCAACATTACCGAACCTTTTAGACCTGACTTTCATGCAAAGGCCAATTTTAAGAACTTAATAATTTACACTGAGCTCATAATTCAAGTTACCACCAACTAAATTACAAATTGAACCTACAGATGGCCAGACCAATTTGAACACGGCAGCACTGGTGAGTCTCTGTGCTTATAATAAAGCTTGTAATGTGTACTCTGCTGTGTCCACTGTACTGAATGTAAATGTGGTGGTGATAAGGTACGTACATAGCTCACAGAGGGATGGCAGTAAGTGTGGTGTGGAGGTGGGTTGTCAGTAAGGGCCAAACTGAAATTTTAATCTGTCCCTGAGTCAGCTCAAGCCCTTAGACCTGCAGGGTTGACTGCAGGTTATTGCTCTTATTGTAAAGTGTGTAAATGAAAGAAATCAAATTTTTAATTTGATGTGCTATTACAAAAATTGAATCTTGGGTGTGCATGTTTAACTCGGTTACCAATCAGCATATTTCCATCAGTAAAAAACATGGCAGTAGTACTCAGATGTAGTCGTGCATCTCTAATGCATCTGTAAAGATCACATGTTCAGGACAGTGAGACAACAAAGACAAAACTTGACTCTCCCCAAAGAAAACCACTTTATTTCACTCTGACCTCCCATTTCCAGAACTTACATACATTAAAGGTTTCATTTAATAATAGTCCTCAAAAAGTGTAAATCAATGCATTCTTCGAGCAAAATAAGCCACTATGATCCGTAGACAACGTGACCACATGCTGCAGTGAGCAGCAGCTCCAGCAGAGCGCTTCCATGCAGTCACCTGGTGGGAAAGAGCCACTGTGGCCCCCCCGCCATGAGAGGGCTGAGGACCAACTCCTCCAAAGAGAAGGCACGCATTTCCAAAATCAGTTGGCATTTAAATACTGTCTACATAGAATTTTCCTGATGAGTTACAGTCTGATCTTGTCAGGATAAAAATGACTATAAAATGGCTGACAAGAGTCATTTAAGAACAAGGAAGGATTATTCAAGTGAGGTATTGGAGCGACATGTAGAAACTATGAGACTTAACTGTACCATCTACGTGAGGAAAACGTACCTCGGACTAACTCTAGACGAGACGGCTGACGTGTAAAGTGACTCGTGGAAAAATGCAATGGTTTCATTACAGTAAACAACAACGATGGACATACAGTGCATTTTACAATACAGTGACATTTATTATACAAATGGCTTTGAGTGCACAGGAACCTGTGATATACTGGTAACATGGCTTTGTCATCTTTTTGCTAGGTAGATACTTCTGTGTGAGCGATAACATGGTATTCAAAGTAATAAATGCATATAAAAGTTATGGAACTGTGGACAATAAACCATTATAAAACAAACAAAAAACATTTAGGCTAAAAAAAAAAAAGGACAAAGTTTCTTTGCTGTCATCCAGGCTGGCATCAAACAAGTATTGCTCAACTTAAAACACACATAGAACATCATGGTAAATACACCAGGTTTTGGCAATGACTGACATGTTAAGGTTAAAGCAATATTTATTGGTAGATCATCTGCACTCCTCCATACGAGCTCACTGTGGCGTCTGCCAGTGCTCTGCGACAAAGACTCAAAACTCTACGATGGATTGAATTCGTCAATATTTATCAATGTTAGTAAAATCTTGGGTGTTGGACATAAAAAAATCACTCTGTCATATATGCATAAATGAGAGTGTCTTACAGCTACATTCATTATCAGTTTATGAAACAAAGTGATGAATGTTTATGGTAAACAATGCAGCTGGTGTCATGTTTATGAGCCCCTACAGAGGACTGCATGCTATTTATTTTCTTCTACTAATGTAAAAACACCTCTTTAAATGAACAAAGTGCATAAACCTCCTGGCGTGGGCCTTGGCATCAATAACATCACAACCAATGTCAATGAGTCAGTGCACTTCAATAAATAATTAATGATCCATCATCAGTAGGCTGGTGTACTGTGTCAGCTACATACAGCAGCTCAACATGATCATTAAACGTGTTGTACGTCATTCTCAGAACTCGTATAAGAGCTTTAAAGGTGGCCAATGTTTGATGGAGAAGTGAGCATGCATGAATACTAGTTTGGCTAAATTTGATGAAGGGGGAACTATTTTAAGAGAAGTATATAGCTATTTTTTTATTTTATAGTAGATAACAAGGGGTATTTTAGAGAATTCTAATACGTTCCACCAAACCCACTCATGTTTTCTCATCATTTCAGGCTGCAAATCCAAGTAACACGTGAGAACAAGTAGCACAAAAAGTTTAACATTTCTCCAAATCTCCATTCAGCTTTCAGCTCAAGGTCAACGGTGAGCCAGACATGTGGGGTAAATCTCTGAGCCTCTTATCAGATTCTGCTCTGCATCTGGAACACACCTTGTGTGGTTGCGATGCAGGAAAACGGTGACGTCTCTTCATGTCTTTTGTGCGTCTCATTGTGGCAGCCTCTGCCCTCTTTGTTAAGGAAACGCGTTCACCCACAGCCAGCCCAGCAGTGTCCCATACACCCAGGTTCTCACGTACAGTTTCCTGCCATTCTCTGTCAGCAGTAATGGCAGTGTCAGTCCCCCCAAGATCATCACTGATGGGAGGGTTTTTGAAAGGTTCAGAGGAGAACGTTTTCCTTCCCCGGGGAACCTGCATAGTTTGTCTGCATCCTCCGACTCGTAGAAATTTGTCAGCAGCCTTTGAAAAGACAGATAACTCTCTTAGGAACTCAGCACGTCTTAGAAAAGCACAAAAGAGCAAAGGAAGGTTGCAGAAATCTGTCTGACTAACAGGCATCAGGAACTTTAGAGCAGTTACAGCACAAAAACTGCACCCAAATCACACCAGGGATTTTTGTGGTTTGATTGGTGTTGTCAGTGTCGGTGTCAGTAGATCACATCCATCTATCCTGAATTTATCAAAGGGAACAACTATTATTTCAAAACACCTCTGCTATTTCAATAGTTCTGGACATGTTCTGCAACTAATGATTACTTTCATTATCCAGTGAACCGCTGATTATTGTCTAGTAACTGTCTGGTTTATAAAACGCCTTATTTAAATGTGTTGTTTTGTCTGACAAACAGTCCAGAGCCCAAACCCACAAGAGAAGCTTCATACAATATTCAGAACATTTATATAACCGCAAACAACTATTTGCTATGTAAAGATATAGTGGAGTAATTGCGTCCTGAGCAGAGAAGGTACTCGTGGAAGCATAAATCTCACCCTTAGGTTCCCTCATTGTGAACCCATTAGTTCTGTCAGCACTGTTGCTGTTAGCACTGTTTGCTGACGGCTCAGCCGCCTCCATGTTGAGAGCCATGTGCAGGCAACCTCTAAATATCGTTAAGAGCTCCTTTAAAAAACTGAAGTTTAATGGATTATCATAACAGCTGCAGATTAATCCAGCAGCCATTTTATTGAAGCTGATGTAGAGTAAATGTCACTGGGACTTTTAACTCTACAATATCAGATGCTTTACAGGTGTTTTGAACTGTTTATTATATTAACCATTAATTAGCTTATATTAATAGTCGTTGTGACAAACTTTGCACTGTAAAGATGAACATATTTCCATAAATAATGTTTCATTTAAATTACCCTAAAACTTCAGTTAAAAGCCTAGTCCCAATTAAACGCCTGGTCTCTTTTACTAG